CTCACGGCAGCCCAGCTCCAGGTTGAGCTGTTGTTCAGCATCTTAGCTATAGAGGGCAGTGTCACTGGCCCTCATATGTGGGATCCGAACCGGGGCCCTTTGGCATCCCAAGCGAGTTCTTAACCATCGCGCCACTCGGCCGGCCCGAGCAAAACTGTCTTTAAAAAAAGATTGTCTCTTAAACACTTTTTTTTCTCTTTTGCAGAATTTTAAGAAGGGCTAATTTAATATATCAGGCCTGAAAATTAATTTTAAAAAACCCTAATTTTTTAAAGGACCAACTGTTTCATACAACTCATCCCAATGTAACAAAGAAGAATAAATATTTAAATTGTAATGCAGACATATTAAGTAGGACAAAGAAGTCCTCTTTAATAATATACATTTGTATGGCTATATCTGAAATTTTTTTTTTAATTGGGGAACAGTGTGTTTTTCCAGGACCCATCAGCTCCAAGTCAAGTAGTTGTTTCAATCTAGTTGTGAAGGACACAGCTCAGTGGCCCACGCGGGGATTGAACTGGCAACCTTAGTGTTATGAGCACTGAGCTCTAACCACCTGAGCTAACCGGATGCCCCTGAAACTTTTAAAGGTATTTTGGTGCCATTAATATACTTCACAGAGTATATTAGAGGAAGGTTTTCAATTTACACTTTTCTTCCACTAGCAAGGTTTCAAGAAAAATAAGCATTCCTCTTATTTACCAATTTTAAATGTAAAGAACACTACTCCAGCAATGTTACAGACTGGTATAAGTCCCCTACTCTGTTAGCTAAAAGTTAAGCCCAGTGCTGGCTGAGTGGCTCAGTTGGTTAAGAGCTCACTCAAGAGTGTGAGCTCTGAGCAACAGGGTCGCCGGTTTGATTCCTGGCCCAAGATGAGCTGTCGCTGCGCTGCCAACAGGTGGCAGGATGGTTCAGCTAATTAATAAATAAATAAATAAAATAAAATAAAATAAAAAAATAAAAGTTAAGCCCAAACACAATGGATGTAATGAACTTATTAAAACACTATAATAAATGTATTAAAACTACTTAACCGTTAACATATATACATATATATAAATAAAATAAAATATGGTCTATAATTCATTTTTATGTGCTTCATATACTGAAAGATTAATATCCTCTTAGAAACTGAAAGAAATAATTCAATTACGTGTAGATCTGCAGAAAATTTTTTTATTAGCTACTAGAATGTTACTGACTAGCTAATATAAATCATATATCAAATATCATCTCTCTGCTTCATCATTTCAGTATCAAATGTTAATTTTGTATCAAACTACTGGAAAGATTAAAGCTAAATAAAATTGATTCCATATAAATTTGTGTATAAAAAGTAACGAATAATTTTTAACAATTTGTTAGACATGCTTAGAAGAAATGTGTGTATTGGAAAGCATTCATCGGTTCACCGAATTATTAAAAAAATACTACAAAATTACTTTTAAAAAAACCCCAAACTTCATAAAACTAAATAGTAATTAACATACTATTTATTATGCAATAAACCTTCTTTGGATATTACGCAAAAAAAATCACTGTATAGCTGATATAAAGAAGCACATAAAAATTACTATATTATAGTATTTTTCATTTAATCTCATCTTAAAAGATACTTTAAAACATATGCTAAATCAAGTTTAGGTATACTGAAAAATAATTCTCCAAAATGGTTTATGAGTAAAAAGATAATGGGTTTTGACTTATTGACACTCTAGGTTTTTATTTAGAAAACCAGTCTTTTTAGCAAATATAAATTTTCATTTATAGGCAGCTCCATCTCACAAACCATTTTGAAATTATGCATATTTCCTTCTAAGTATGAGGCAATGATTAAATTTAGAAACTTAACGTCATGAAAATCTGCACTCTTTTTCAAAACACTAGATATTCATAAATTTAGTATAAAAAGGGTATGAAACATACAGATTTTATTGATTACTGCTCGGAAGGTCTGATAGTCACAATCACTTCCCAGATTTTAGTTATCTGACAATGAGAACTATGCAACTCACTCCTTTATTGTCTCCAGAGACAGGAGGCTGAGAACCACATTAAGTGCTCAAAGGTATTTATTTCCTCCACCTTCAAGCTCTCTTTAAACTCACGTTAGCTTTTCTGATTTTGGTTGGGGGAGAGGGGAGTAGGTAGTACCTACATTAACAAATAATTAATACATAATAATCTATTTGATAGAAACTCCAGGAGATGGAGAAATTAAAGCTTAAAAGTGTTGGGAAGTTCCAATCACAGAGGGATAATAGTAAACAGAGACAAAACATTTTTTAAGTCTCTCTGGTTTTTTTAAAACATTGCCATTTTAGCCCCTTACAATTCTGTACAGGCTTCTTCTTCCTGTGCCCCAATGGAAGTGTTATTCCCTCTGGGTTCTTTCTACCTTTATTGTCTTTCAGATAATTCTACCAAGATCACAAATAGATGAGGTACAACAAGGGAAGGTTTCTGCTTGGGGGCAGGAAAGATTGCAAAGTCATATTTTACAAACTATGATAGAAAAAGGCTGGGTTAACAGCTCAATTCTATTGTAATTACTGTTTATTTCTTCAAAATATCTTTATAGTAATATTTTTCTCAGGGAGTCGGGCAATTTAGACTTTAAGTCCATACTATTTTATAAGCAACATTACTTATTAAAGCTACCACAGAGTCAAAAGATTACAACTGAGAATTTATTTGAATGTAAAAATCATAAAAGCAATGTGTGTGCACCATCCTGGCAGATAATATGGAATATTCTTGTACTTAAGTGATTGGCTGATTAAAGAGGCTTCACTTCCTTAGAGAGAAGGACCAGATAACATTGGACAAAAAAACTGGTTTCCTTTTAAGAAAGAATCCAAATAGAAACTCAACTGCCAAACTCTCAAGTATCTCTCAATATACACTAGATTAAATATTGGGTTGTCGGAAAAGTCATGACACATTTTTGCAACGAAAAACATAGAAAAAATACATCAGGACTTTTCTGACAACCCAATAATTCCTAGTTTTTATTTGCCAATGTTTAATCCTGATCTTCTCTGCTTATGATAGATAAATCTGTGAGTTAAGTGTAAAATTACCAATGAAAATACTTTTTTCCATTTCCTGTATTTTTTTCCCATCCTAATTTTGACAAATCTCCTCACAACAAATATGTAGAAATGCTGGATTTAAAAAAAGAAGTATTGCACTGCTCGTCATCCCAGGCTGTGCTCACAGAAAGGGCCAGTCGTAGGTGCCAGCCATGAAGCGGGGGTTGCAAACCAGGCGGGAGGCACATGGCCCCTGCTGCAGCTGCACGAAGGGAAAGAAGGCAAACTGCTACAAGTCTCAGCAATCCAGAAGCTTCAGTTTTGATACTCTAATGAGGACAAAAGATGAGGCCCTCAGTTCAAATGGGGTGGACTGGAGTTACCACTCTTGTGTGAACCTTAGAACCTAACAAAGCTGAACCCTCAGTAAATGCAAAGTCTAGAAGAATACAATTAACTCACTGACACAGGTTTGTTTCTGTCTGGGCTCTAGCTTAGAAAACAAATACACACACACACCACAAAATGGGACTACTACTCCACCATAAGAAAAGATGAAATGGTGCCATTTGTGACAACATGGATGGATCTTGAGATTATTATACTAAGCAAAGTAAGTCCGACAGAAAAAGTCGAGAACCATATGACTTCACTCATGTGTGGGATATAAAACTGAAAGCAACAAAGGAACAAGACAAACAAACAAAGAAAAAAAACCTCACAGACACAGACACAGTTTAGTGGTTACCAGAGGGTAAGGGGGGAGGGATGCTAGTAAAGGGGTCAAATATATGGTGATGGAAGAAGAACTGACTCTGGGTGGTAAGCACACAACGTGATATATAGATGATGTATTGTAGAATTGTACATTGAAACCTATGTAATTTTACTAACCATTGTCACCTCCAATACATTTAATTAAAATCAAACAAACAAAAAACAAATAAATGTTCCTCTTGTAAAATCAAATCTCTAAGCCTGTGCCTCTTGTAGATTTGGGGCCTGCATTTACTCC